GCTGCCGGACTTGGCTGCCAACCGGGCTCCGCTCCCGGCTCTGGGCAGCAGGCCCGGACCCCGCAGCTGCAGGTCTTTCGCTCCGAGACTTCTCCGGAGCTCTCAGCTGCCCTGGACCGGGCTTTGGAGGAGGAGGCTGGGAGGCCTGGAGGCCCAGGACCCTGAGGCCACGCTAAGGCCCGACCGAAGGATTGTTTCTCCTACCCGACAAGTAAGATGGCAGCGCACAGGGTGGAGGCCGCCCAATTGGACCGGAATGGGCAGCTCTGCCCGATGACCGTTGTTCCGGTGAGGACGGGTTTTAGCTGGGGCGCTTCATCAAAGGAAGTGAGAGACCAGCGAGCGGGGCCGACGCCTTTGGGGAAGAAGACAGCGGAAGAGTCAGCCCTCCGCGCCATCTTGTTTAAGAGGCTTTTGTCCGCCGTCGTTAGGCCGCCCGGGGAGCCCTACAGGGCTCCTGAGTTTGGGCTGGAATCGCCTCGGACGCCTTTACGTCATGAGGGCCCTTAACTAAGGCGGCCTGCCCCGGCCCTCTTGACTCATGACATTGCCCATGAGAGGAGGGATCCTTACCCGAAATTTCAGTCTTTACGCAGGATAGGCGAGTCCCCTGTTCGGGCGCCAAAGGATGGGTGGACAGATGGGTGGACAGACTGCTGGGTGGATGCGTGACTGGATGGGTCCATGTGTGCGTGCGCGGTGGATGACGGGTTGTGATGGACAATGGGACGGATGCATGGATTCACGGGTAGATGGCGGGTGGGTCCGCAGAAGTGTGGACGAATGGACGGGTAGATGGATGGACAGAGGCGTGCACAAGTCCATGCACAGAAGGAAGGGTAAGTGGGTGTGTGGAGGCTGCGTGGATGGATGTATGGACGACTGTAGGTAGGTGGGTGAGACAAATGACAGGGATGTATGTGTGGAAAGGTGGGGGCAGAACAGTGACGGACGGGTGTGGACAGGGAAAGACGGGCCGGTGGCAGGGTGTCTGCGGAGGAGGTGGGCAGCACGGCAGACCCGCCTGGCGCTGCTGGCCTGACCTCGGCTCTGGATGCCCACAGGCAGCTTCCTGATCCCCTACCTCGTCATGCTGGCTGTGGAGGGGATGCCGCTCCTGTACCTGGAGCTGGCGGTGGGGCAGCGCATGCGGCAGGGCAGCTTCGGCGCCTGGAAGACCATCAGCCCCTATCTCGGAGGGCTCGGTACGTGGGCCCCCATCCCCTGGGTGGCTCCGGGGTGGGGTGGGAATCTAGCAGCAGGCACAGGACCCCAGAGAGAGCCAGGGATGGGGTGAACGGAGAGCCCAGGGGGAGCTGCCGCTAAAGCTGAGAGGGGCTGGGGTCTCGACCCACAGGGCAGCCCCTGGCACTGACAGCCCTGGGTCTCTGCTCTGGGCCTCAGCAGCAGAAATCCGTGGAAGGGAATTAGCTGCTCAGCTGCTCTGTAGCTTGCGGATGTGGGGGGTGTAGTCTTCAGTGTTCCACCCTGGCTTATGTCAGACTCGGGAGCTGGCCCATATGTAGGACGGGCGGGCGGGGGACCGTGCTCAGAAGGAAGACCTCAGAGCATCCTTGGTGGCCGACTGTATGTGGGCTCCACGTAGGCCCTGCCATGCCGCCATCCCTCACGTGCCCTCACCCCAGCCTCTGACACCACAGGACATTTGGCCCCGGTGACCCAACCTCGGGTGAGCCAGAGCGAACAGCTGTCCTAGTGGGCAGACGGTTGGCCCGAGGCAGTGACAAAATGGTCCTCTCGGAGGTTTAAGCCCTAGCTCTGCCACTCAGGAGCTGTGTGGCCTTGGGCCAGCTCTGTGCCCAGTGCTCTCCTCCATGACATGGGAACAACACGGTTGTGAGGACAAGAGGTGTGTGAGGTGCTCGGCACGGGGTCTGGCACAGAGGTCTCAAAAGCGTCACCGGACTCATGTCCTCGTGATGTGAGTTGGCAAGAGACGTAGCCTCACAGAGGTCCCAATGTGTGCAGAGAGATTTCCCGCCCCACGCACGCCGTCCCCATCCCTGCCTCCTTCTTCCCCTCAGGCGTGGCCAGCGTGGTGGTGTCCTTCTTCCTGTCCCTGTACTACAACATCATCAATGCCTGGGGCTTCTGGTACCTCTTCAACTCCTTCCAGGTGAGCTGCTGTGAGTCAGGGAACACATGTGGGGCCCACGCCTGGGGAGTGGGGAAGAAGCGGCCTCGGGGAGCCCCCAAGTAGCAGGAAGGACTGGGGAAGCCCAGTACCCCACAGCAAACGGATCCAAGACCCCTCACTTTGCAAGCTGGGGTTTTGAGTATGCCTATGCGCTCATTTAGGGGAGCTGGTCCACAGCTTTCATAGGCTGTGACCCTCAAAACATTAAAAATGATCTCAATGAGTCCAGGAGAAAATCCACAGCACAAACTGAGAGTGATTTCTGTATCCCCTCAGGACCATAAGGCTCTTCCTCCACCTTTTCAGTCCCCTCTCTCCCTTCCTGCCATGGCTATTTGTTCTCCCTAGTTTCTGGCCCCAGGTTGAGCCCCTCCTTTTCCCCATAGACCCAGAGTTCTCCCAGAAGAACCACTGTCACCCTGAAACACAGTAGGGGCTCTTCTCAAAGCCAGAGTTCTGCTCAGGACCTTCCTGCTGCTCCCTGGAGCTCAGTGATCCACATGCTTTTTGGCACCAGGAAATAGTTTTGTGGAAGACAATTTTTCAATAGACTAGGTGGGGTGGACTTTTTTTTTTTTTTTTTTTTGGTTTCTTCTTAAAATAGCAATACATAAGCTGGGGGTTTAGCTTAGTGGTTCGGTGGCCTGCCTTACAATAGTAATACATATTTGTGATCCATATGATTCCCTTCCCCAGGGCTAGCATCACAGCCTCAGCCCTGCCTCAGTTCATCATGCACCAGGTCATCACAAGGAGGGCACAGCCCAGATCCCTTGCCTGTGGAGTTTGCAGTCAGATTCCAGCTCCTGTGGGAATCCCGTGCCCTCTGACCTGACAGGAGGCAGAGCTCAGGCCCTAACTCCAGCACTGGGGAGCAACTGTAAATACAGATGAGATTTCACCCACTTGCCCACCTCTCACCCTCCTGGCCTTACCCAAGGTTTTAATTTTTTCTCGTTTCTTCTTTAGATGATAGAGTGATAGGTGATACAAACGGGTCTGTGCTCTGCTTTCAGATATTTTCCTTATAAAACATGTCAAATATGGGCTGAGGTGCCTTTTCCTGCATGTGGATATTCAATTCTTTCATTGTCTTTGTTGGTGAAATAATCACCAAGCATACTCACCTGAGTTGAGTGTTCAGTGAACGTTGGGAGAGTGACAGGAATTACTGGTGGGCAGAAGTAAAGGCCTCCCACTGCCACCCTAGCATCTGGCCCCAGCCTACTGGGTAGAAACGGGGCAGCTTCTCTGACTCCAAAGACTGAGGGCTGCTGTGTATGGCTGGGCATGCTGTGGGTGGCACAGTGGCACTCCCAAAAGACGTAGAGGCAGTATACATTTGTGCAGTTATGAAGATAAATTTGCAAAGATGGAAGCTGTGCACCTTGTCTAACAGTCAGGAAGACTTGTCCATTTTCTAAATAAAGTGAATTTAAAAGTAGCAGCTGTTTCTAATCCTCAGAAATGTGGGCACCAGCGATTGCAGAAAAGCACTTGAATATTCACTCTTTCTGTCCTTCACAGGCCTGTGTTGTGCTGGGTTAGAGTTTTTTCCCTCATTATCCATCTCAGTCTCAGCCCCACAGCAAAGTTAGGCCTTCCCCAAACCACCTGCGGAATGGCTAGGAGAGCAGAGGCCTCCACCAGCGAGCTCTGCATAGCCACAGTGAACTTAGAGAGCACAAGGTTTTTTCCACTCGTGGTTGGAAGGTTCCAGGTGTGACTCCCACGGGCCCACTGCTTTGGCCTCCAGTGTGTGTGTGTGGGGGGGGACAGCCCATCACCACATGAGCAGGTGCAGTGTAAATGTGACATCTCCAAGGGGAGGAGAGGGACAGGGTCCCACTGTCCCAGGAGCATACACCCCAAGTGAGCTGATGCCCTCTCACCAGGCCCCCACTAAGTATGCCCAGTACTAGCACCCTGCGGCCAGGCCACTCCCATGGCCCTCTGGGGAGCACTGCACCCCACACAGCCCATGGCAGGTGCCCCGCAGCCCCTCCCAGGCCCCGACACACACACGGCGTCCCAGGCACTGAGGTCCTCTCCGCCCCACAGCCCCACCCTGGCCTCCTCTCACCTCTGCACGATGTGGTTCCGCCCACAGGACCCCCTGCCATGGTCCGTCTGCCCCCTGAATGCAAACCGCACCGGCTATGAGGAGGAGTGTGAGAAGGCGTCCTCCACACAGTACTTCTGGTACCGGAAGACCCTCAACATCGCGCCATCGATCCAGGACAGTGGGGCCGTGCAGTGGGAAATGGCGCTGTGCCTCGTCCTGGCCTGGCTGATGGTGTACCTGTGCATCCTGCGGGGCACCGAGTCCACGGGCAAGGTGGGCAGGGTGGGAGGGAGCGGCACCTGTGCCCGCGGTGGGCGGCGTCCGGGGACCTCCATGGTGTGGGACAGAAGCCCGCTGGGCAGACACAGCAGGTGCTGCCGGAGCAGAGCCCTCCTGTGAGACAGAGGAGGGCGGAAGTGCCTCAGTGCTGACCCGGTCTGTCTTTAGTGCGCGCGCATTCACAGAACCTGAGGGTGGGGCTGCTTCAGGGAGCCAGTGCCTGCGTTTAATAGGCAGCTGCTCTCTCTGTCCTACGGATTCTGAGATGTAGTGTTTCCAGTATCATGTGATGCTAGGAATTTTTTAACTTTGACCCTGATTTTCTTTGGTGACCTTTTACTATGTTGAGAATGTATTGTTCAACCTCGCACATTTGTGCAGCAACTGTGGTTTATTTTGCTGTTGATTTGTTTCATTCTGTTGTGGTCTGACAGGATGCACGAGGATTTTTCGGTGTTCTGGTTTTCAGTGAGGCTCACCGCATGGCCTAAAGTTGTGGTCTGCTTTGAAGAACAGCCCACGGTGTGCTGAAAAGAAAGTGGATTCTGCTGTTGTTGGATGAAACATTCCATGGTTATCTGTGAAGTCCTTTTAGTCAATAGTGTGTTTAATTCTGGTGGTTCTTTGCTCATTTTCCTGTCTAGTTGACCTATTTATGGCCGTGGGATGTGGAATTCGCTCACTACAGATGTAGTGGGATCTATGTGCCCTCTGCAATCAGGTAGTCAGTCGGTTCTTTGCCACTTCTCTCTCTTGCTCCTATCTGAATATGCCAGTGCCTTCTATCCAATGCGAGCTCGTGACTTTTCAGTGCTCTCACGTACTCCCTAGACTTTCATTGTGGTTTTTACTTCCAAGATTTCTGCTTGTTTATTTTTCATAACTTGCATCTCTTTCCTGAAGTGGTCTTTCATACCCTGCCTTGTCTTCCTTAACTTACTCAGCTGATTATTTGTCTCTTCTCTGAACTCAAGGGTAAGTTTAAACATCGGCCTTTTACATTCTTGGTCTGGATCTTCTCTTCCCTACCTGAATATAATTCAGGCCGATCTGCAAAGGGGTCACCAGCAGCGTTTCTCATGGGACAACTCAAATCCAGGGAACTCGTACATGAAGCAGCCTTGCAACACCATTCTTTGCTTTAAGGAAGAGTCTCTGCTGTGTATAGGAAGCGACTTACAGAAAAATACCAGTCCTGGTGAGCAGACAGCACTTGAAGCTGTGTTGAAGCTTTGACAGAGGGGCGTGGTGGCACACGCTTGTAATCTCACTCTTCTGGGAGGCTGAGGCAGGAGGGTACTAAGTACAAGCCAAGCTGGGCAAGTTAGTAAAATGTGTCTCAAAGTAAAAAAAATTAAAGTTTGAAGAAAGGTTGGGAATGTAGTTCAGTATAAGCGTCCTGTGTTCAATCCCAGGTAACCACCAAAGGAAAACAAAACTACGTGTGTGGGATTTCAAGCCCAAGGAAATGACAGCAGCTGGGAGGGGGCTATGAACCCGTATCAGTGAAGTTCCCACTGAATCTATTACGGGAACATTTCCCCTCATTTCATGGTGCTCATTTCCATGCGCACTTCTGGCCAGGCTATCTCGGGCTTTAGCTGTGGAAAACTGTCCAGCCTCCAGCCCTTAAATGTTTTGTCCTTTAGAGACAATACGTTTGCCTTCTGATATCTTTGTGCTTCCCGACCTGCTGTGGCACCAGGAGAGTCGGTTCGGAGTGAAATGTGGCTCACAGATGAGTAGAGACATGCGCGCCTCCGAGGGCAGCTTTCTCCCCGGCCTCATTACTAGGTTGTCCATATTTGCTTTTCAGGCTGACGTCTCTATCTGGAAATGTGAACGTGTCAATGGGAGTATGTATGGGCTGCCTCTGTCCTGTGCAGAGTACACTTGGGTTGAAGGAGACCTGAGGGCAGAAGCCTCAGTGCCTGTTGCCTCCTGTCTGCTGATTAAGAATTTCCTGGTGGCAACAGACAGGGCAACCACACCCGCCAGCCCATTTCTCCAGTGCAGAGTCCGCCCCGATCCAACCCGCCTCAGCCTTCAGCAGCTGTGGTGCAGCCTGAACACCCAGCAGGCTGCGGCTTCCAGGGCACTTGATGCTGACTCTGCCCTCTGGCACCCACAGGTGGTATATTTCACAGCACTGCTGCCCTACTGTGTGCTTGTCATCTACCTGGTCAGAGGCCTCACCCTCCACGGAGCCACCAATGGCCTGGTGTACATGTTCACTCCCAAGGTGAGTAAAGAGGCTCGTGAGGATGCCCTTCCCTCCTCCTGCCACTCGCCAGGATGGCGGTGAGGAGGGGCAGATGGAGGGAAGGAGCGCTACACAGGGAGGCTGGATGCAGGCCTCACCTCCGCATCCAGGCCACAGTTGCAGGTCTGCATGTCAGACCCACAGCGCGCCTGGCTGGGGAGTCAGAGGCCCGGTGTGTTTCTGGTCAGTCCACCCTGCGGTGCTCACTGCACACTTCCTGTGGCTGAGTGCTGTGCGCTGTGCTATGGGAAAATTCCCAAGCACTCGGGTGCTGAGGGACGGACAGGGCACAAACCGGCATGGGGAAGCTGGGCTGTGGCCCCAGGCTGCCCTCAGGCTGCCCTCACAGCCCATGCTAGGGCAGCTCCTTGCCCACACTGTGCCTCCCTGGCTGTGAGTTTTCCGTGGACTCAGGCTCCTGCTTGCCCCCTGCTGGTCTTCCAGGTGGAACAGCTGGCCAAACCCAGGGCCTGGATAGATGCAGCCACACAGATCTTCTTCTCTCTCGGCCTGGGCTTCGGCAGCCTGATCGCTTTTGCCAGCTACAACGAGCCCTCCAACAACTGCCAGAAGCACACCATCATCGTGTCCCTCATCAACAGTGCCACCTCCATCTTCGCCAGCGTGGTCACCTTCTCCATCTATGGCTTCAAGGCCACCTTCAACTACGAACACTGCTTAGATAGGTGAGCCGGGCTGCACCTGTAAGACCTGGGCCTCCAGTGGGGAGGAGAGCGCCCACCTCTGAGCTGGAGGGAGAACCACAAGGAGGGGCTGCACAGGAACACATTGCTGAGAGATGGGAAGGTGGCAGCCTCTCCAGTCAGTGGAGGTCAAGCTGGTGCTGTGCTCTGCAGGGTGATTCTGCTGCTGACCAATTCTTTTGACCTGGAAGATGGCTTTTTGACAGCCAGCAACCTGGAGCAGGTGAAGGGCTACCTGGCTTCCACCTACCCAAGCAAGTACAGCGAGGTCTTCCCACTCCTGAAGAACTGCAGCCTGGAGTTGGAGCTGGACACGGTACGGTGTGGCCAGGGAGATCGGGCGCCTCTCCTTGAACTAACACAGGCTCTGGGGCAAAGACTGGGTCCCCGCTCCCCTTCCTATAAGGCTGCACTCACATTACCTTAGGATCCCGGTTTTATAACCTCATTTAACCTAAGCTTCCCACTGAAGACGCCTCCCAGGGACACTCACACTGGGGATGGAGATTCCACACCAGAGTCCTGGGGAGGGGACCGATTTGATGCACAGCGGTTCTGACTCTGACCCAGTGCAGCAAGGGCTCCCAGGGGAGGACAGTGCTCTTCTTCCCACCGCCTCTCCCCTCCAGCTGACTTGTCTTCCTGTGGGTTTACCAGCCCATGTGTGGCATACTGCTTAACCCTAATTTCTGGGAGTGCTGGTGGTCACAACTGCACGGAGGCTACAGGTTTGCTTTTGCGCGTCTCCTGCTGAGAGCCAGAGGTCTCCCACATCTATGGCGCTTTCCGCCCTCCCTGGGTCACAGAGGACTTGTCTTCACACAGGAGCTGCAGGCTCAGTCCTCACAGTTGTGTCCACACCGCGGCACCAGCTTGGGACTCTGGGCCCTGACACAGGCTGGCTCCTCAGTCCCAGCACCGAGGGTGGAGCCCTGGACATTCTGAGGTGGATGTGGCACTGTCCACATGTGGCCCGGGGGCAGGGACAGAGTGACAGAAGTTCCCCACGTTCTGCAGAGGTGCATCTGGGCAGCCCCACATTCTATTTGGTGCTGCTGGCCTCAGGGCCTGGTCTGCAGGTGACCGGGGCTCAGCAGGTGGCTCTTGGGGCCAGTTCTGAGATCCCGCATCACTGAGAATTCTCTTAGTGTTAGACCATTGGTCTCCTGGGTGACTGCTACCTCTCTCCATGGACAGGCGGTCCAGGGCACAGGCCTGGCCTTCATTGTCTACACGGAGGCCATTAAGAACATGGAGGTGTCCCAGCTGTGGTCGGTGCTCTACTTCTTCATGCTGCTGATGCTGGGCATAGGGAGCATGCTGGGCAACACGGCAGGCATCCTCACGCCCCTGACCGACAGCAAGGCCATCTCTAGCCTCCTGCCCAAGGAGGCCATCTCAGGTGTGGGCCCACATGGAGCCATCTGCCTCCTCCACATGGCGGGCACTGGTGGGCCTTTGCGAGGTCTCTGAGCCTTGGCTGCTCATTGGGAAAGGGGCCCTTTCCTGGCCTTGAGGCTAAGGACTCCACGCAGGGCCATGGTGCTGGCAAACCCAGCTCACCCCTCTCCCCTCTCCCAGGTCCTGCCGGCCCTGATTCACATTCCAGCCACTCCCCTGCTTCTCTCCCCACGAGGCTGGGCCTATGCAGTAGGGATCCCCAGGGCCCCAGACCCACAGCCCGGGGGGCCCGAGAGTGCACAGCTCCCTCTTCTGCTGCCCCCCTGGGCCCATGTCCCTGCCCAGCAGCTCTGCCCACCCAGGTGGACCAACCAAGTGGCCACAGTTCCCTCGGGGCCCGGCCCCCGCTGCCCCTGAGAGGTCGGGCGAGCAGGTGGCACTCGGGTGTCTTGTGCCCAGGTCTGGTGTGCCTCATCAACTGCGCCATCGGCTTACTGTTCACCATGGAGGCCGGGAGCTACTGGTTTGACATCTTCAACGACTACGCAGCCACACTGTCCCTGCTGCTCATCGTGCTGGTGGAGACGGTGGCCGTGTGTTACGTGTATGGGCTGAGGAGGTGAGGGGCCGGCCCTGCCAGCTACATGGGGACAGGCAGCTCCCGGGGACCCCAGAGCGGCCGACACCCCGGCTCAGTGCATTTCCTTCTAGGAGGTGGTTCTTTGCACTCGTTTGTTTTCTCCCTGAGAGTTCACCTGTTTCTCTGCCTCATTTCTGTCCTCTGTTGGCTTGCAACCAACAGCCTCTCTCTGTTTCCTGTCTTTCTCTGTGTTGGAGAGGAAGTTCCCAGCGGGCCCTGCTGCACCCCGCAGCTCCCTGGGATGAGATCTGGCCTCCCAGCACTAGATTCTCTGATCCGTGGCCAACACCAGTTTGTGAGGACCCTGACCGGTCTGCTTGAGCACTGACCTCCTGGAGAATCGGGCCAGTTCCACCGAGGTCAGGTTCCCACCCAGGCACCCTGCGCAGTGCTGGGAAGTTTTCCATCTCCCAGGGGTGCAGTGTGCAGCTGGGGCCACTGGCAGTTGTGTTTCTGTTTTGTTTTTTTGACACTGCTGACTGGAGCCGGGGCCTCCCTCATACTGAGCACGCTTTCCAATGCTGAGCCCAGGGCACCTGGGGCGTGAGGCTGGCCGTGCAGGGGCGTAGGGAGGCAGCTGCCCCTTCCAGGTCACATAAGGCCTCGCCTGCAAACAGCACCTACAGCTGCTGCCTCCTCCCAGGAGGAATCCGGGTGGGGGCCAGAGATGTAGCTCAGTGGCGCAGAGCCTGCCCGGCAAGCACAAGGTCTTGAGTTCAATCCCCGTTCTACAAACAGAAGCGAGGATGCGCACGGGCTCTGACTGTCACTCACCTTCCAAAGCCCGCCTCTGAGAGCAAGTAGGGTGTGGGGACATTTTAGGTCTAGCTGGAACAAGGGACTTCCTGCAACTTGGGCCTTTCCGCACTAAAGCCGGGACAGCCCACAGGGGCCTGGGACCCAGCACCTGCCAAGGCACAGGAAGAGCCTGGTGGCCTGAGAGGTGTTCAGGACAATAGAAGGGTCTGGGGACAGAGCACCTGATCTGGGGCGCACAGGAGTTCACTGGAGATGGGGTGTAGGCCATCAGAAGGATGGGGAGGGTCCAGTGTGTTGATGCGCACCAGTAATCCCAGCACTCTGCGAGGCTAAGACAGGTGGGTTGCAAGTTTAAGCTCAGCCTGGATGATTCAGATCCTGTCTTAAATTTAAAAAGTAAAAAATGGCTGGTGCTGTAGCTCAGTATGAAAGCCCTGCATTCAGTTCCTAGTAGGGCATGTGAGTGGGCGCGCGCGCGCGCACGCATGCACGCACGCACGCACACACACACACACACACACACACACACACACACACACACACACTCTGGGCGGGAGGGGGGGTGGTGGTGTGTGTGAGCTTGACTGAGGAGAAACAAGGCCCCTGCAGTCCCTTGTGCTTGCTGGTAAGGACAGCGCCCTCTGGTGGCCCTCCAGTGACAATGACCTGCCCGCAGCCCTCGGCCTGCTCCTCCCACTTCTCTACCCAGGTGTGGACAGGGGTAAAGGGAATGAGGGGACCCCACCCTTTCTGACCTGCATCACTGTGGTGGTCCCGAGTACTCATGTGGCCTGGAGCCCTGAGCCAGGCTCGGTCAGCCCAGCCCTGCGGCAGAGCCTTCCGTGGGCACAGTGCAGGGCCGGGGCACAGGGCAACAGTGACCCATGGCCCTGTCCCCACCCCTCCACCCAGGAGAGCAGTTTTCAGGGGTGGCACAGGCTTGTACCCTAGCTCAAGGCAGGCTGAGGCACCCTAGCCACTTAGCGAGGCCTTGTGTGAAAATGGCATGGGTCGGTGGGAAGACCCTGGGTTCGATCCCAGTTAGATAGATAAAAATAGAAAATGAAGGTTCTGGCGTGGAGTGGGCAGGCCAGTGCAGGCCAGAAGGCTCCTCACCCTGGCTTCTGCCCGGAGCTGGTCCAGCTGTGGGCCGGGCCCCTCCCGTCAGCGCATCTTTAAGGGAGGATGGAGCTGTCACGTTCCAGGGTGTGCTGCACCCCCAGTCTGGCATGAGGTGTCCCCCAGGGGAGCGGGGACCTCTGCTCAGCACCGCTCTAGGCTCCATCATGGAAACGTGTTTCAGGGCGCCCCTGTGGGCTGCGGCAGACCTGGGAGGCCGAGTCAGGGAAGTTCCTGCCACAGAAGGGCATGGCTGCCATGGTCTCCATGGTCCTGGGGTGTCCGTTCCGGGGTGGGCTGGAGTGGGCCGTTAGACGCAGGGGTCTGGCCTTTCCCGATGTGACTCCCTTCCTGGCGCTGTCTCCTGGGGTGATGTCTGCAGGCTGGAAGTGAGGGCCCCGGAAAGACGCCACGGGACAATGACTGAGGAATGTGGGGAGGCACAGTGGAAGGAAACCTGGCCTGTGCAGGTGGAGGGGTCCTTAACCCTGGAAACGGGGGTGTGTCTTGAAGATGCAGTTTTCTTCAAGGTAGACTTACAGTTTCCCTGCCCTTGCAGGCTTGGTCCATCCTGATCTCCTGTCCACCACAGCACGGCACTGTGGCCAGGTTTACGTGAAAGTCCCTCGATGTACAGAGGAAATGGCCTTCCGGGATCTGGCACGCACTCTCCTCCCTGTCCCGGCCAGGCTCCAAGGTTCTCTCCCCCTGTGGCCCGCAGATTCGGAGCCGAGCTGGAGGCCATGACCGGCCGCGCCCTGGGCTGCTACTGGAAGGCCATGTGGGCCTGCGTGAGCCCACTGCTCATCATCGGCCTCTTCCTCTTCTACCTGAGCGACTACATCCTCTCGGGGACGCTGCGGTACCAAGCCTGGGACGCCACTCAGGTACCTGCCACCCCTGGTCCCCACGGTGCGCTGGGCCTCTCAGCTCCGACGCCAGGAGGTCGCTGGACAGGGCTCCTTCCTTCCCTCAGTTCCTGGGTTTGGGCCGGTGCCATCCTGCCCACCATGACTGCCGGGGCCGGGATTGGCCGGTGAGTGGAATCTTGCCCAGCACGCAGAAGGCACTGAGCCCAGTCCCCAGCACTGCCACTGATTAGTGACGAGTCCGTTTCAAACCCAGCACAGAGCAAGATCGCCCCGGGCAACAGCAGGGGCATAGCTCACACCTACCGTGACCACACAAGGTGCAGAGCTGTTACTGACAGAGGGAGATTAGCAAATCAGGAAAACAGTCTGGCTTCTAGAAACCACTGAGACGGGAGCCTGACTGACAGCAGTGTTCCGAGGCCAGCAGGCTTTAAAAATGTTTTCTAAAACTTGCATCAGCAAAAAACACATATTATTATAAACAGTTTATCTAGTCAGAGACATAAACAGCTTTCATTTAAAAGACTAATAACAGATGCCTAAAGAAACCTTAACGAAATTTCATTGCCCTATAAACAGTCAAAACCCTATCGAGCAAAAAGCACAGATATTATTTTGATGTGCAAAAATCGTGTGCTTGCTTCGGTAGCACATGTACTAAAATTGGAACGATCTACAAAAATCTTTGTTCTTTTGAGCCATTTCTTTTGTAAATTGTACTAAGAACACAACAATATTCCAAGAAAGCCTTGTTCTAAGCATAACCGGCTAGGTTCTGGTGTTACGCGCACACATTAAAATCTGACCTTCGCCGGGTGTGGTGGTGCACGCCCGTAGTCCCAGTACTCGGGAGGCTGAGGCAGCAGGATTGCTGTGAATTCGAGACCAGCCTGGGCTACAGAGTGAGTTCCAGGTCAGTCTCAACTACATAGTGAGACCCTGTCTCAAAACAAACAAAATCCCACCTTCAACAACCCTGAAGACCAGCTCTCCCGTCACCATCCTTTGTAAACCCGCAAGTGGTTCAGGTCTCTGCGGCTCACTCAGATCTTTGGCTCTGTTCCTGTCTCTCTTCTCATTTGAGAACAGTCATTTTATCTGAGCACAGTTTTTTAGAATAGATTGTCTCTAACGAGAACATGTCCAGATGTCTCACTCAAGAGATGCAGGTGTCTGAAAGTCCTGTTGGGACAGACGATTGATTGGCAAAACGTAGGCGTTGGGCGACTGTAAAATGATGCCGTTCGCTATCCAGACATCAGAAGACACACACCCATCACCAGCACATTTTACATCATCTGTTCAGGAAACAGAAACAAAATTAAATCTCTTCGCTTTAAGAAGTTGACTCTGTTTCAGTAATACCTGACTATAAACCTTTTAGAACTCAGTCTGTGTCTGTCGAGTCTCGAATATCTGTCAGCCAACTGAGATTTCTATGTTCATATCCCTTCTCCAGAAAACTGAATGTAGCTTCTAGATGTAACAACTACACAGTAAAAACAAGATATCTGGGGGGAACGCAATCTTTTGTTTTTGAGTCTTGAAAAGTCTTGCTGCAAAAACAAAATAGTTGTGTCTTTTTTATAATTTCATTTTTAAGAATCAAATCTAGCAAGCACCACAGAGGAAAACCTGTAGTAACTCACCTGTTGCAGGCAGCAGGGCAGCTTTTTAGACTTTACTGTGATTACTAGCATTAGGTCGTGTAAATAAAAACATTAGTCAGCTGGCCAGGTGTGTCCTGGCTACTCTCTCTGGCGTGATCTACACTGATCGGCCTTCACAAGCAAAACAAAACATGTTTTCCTAAAACTGACTGTTCTCTGAAATAGGTGGCAGCTAACTTTTAAAAATTTAAACACTTAATGAGTTCTTCTTCTACAAATTATTAACATTAGGGGAGTTTAAAATGACGAACAGATATAAGCACTGATCGTCTTGGAGTGCACTGTTCAAAGTTTATTCCCTCCAGATAAGTGGATGAAAATGTACTTGACGTAATTCTTCATTTCTAGATATCATTGCCCCTCTAGTGCAGCTCCTCTCAAACTCATTAAAAGTGGACATATCTTTGGACACTGTGCATCGGTGTTTTATGCATTTTATGAAACCAAAAGTATGAATTTAAACTTAGCAAATGTCCCAGTATTTTAGCTTATTTACAAGGACTTAGATATTTTACCTGTATCGTTTATAGACACTTGTTCCATGAATTATTTATCCAGCTTGTTACAGATTACCCATGAGATTTGAGATGTCAGACAAGTATAGTGAGTACTTCGTTATTTCTTTTGCCAAAACCATAAACGGTGCTGTGTGTGAGACACAGAAACGATAGATATTAGATCTTTTTTTGTGTGTGTGCTGGGGATCAAACTTGGGACCGTGCAGTGGAAAGATACTGCATCTTGAACAACTGAAATAGAATCCCGATTGGCCAGCAATCCAGGCAAAAATGTATACTCCCAGTTCTACCTTTGTTCTATCTTACCAACAAACTGACATGACCCCATTTGTCAGAAATCCACCTCTAACATTTTAGCCATAATACATAGCAACGTGGTAAGGTGTAGTCACCAGTTTGTAAACAGATCGATCGCCACAAATCGCCACGCACCTGGTTTCTCTAGGCCCCTTCGGTCTCTTCTAGACAAAGTGGCACCACAGCCACAGACAAAGCACCACCAATTCGAAGTTCCCTGCCAGGAAGCCCAGCCGGCTCCCGAGCAAACAGACAGGACAAAGAAAACAGTGATTGGAGGCGAGGCCTAAACATCATTTTCCCATTTTCAAAAGCAGCAAGGCTGGGCAGCCAAGTCCCTGGGGCGTCACACCCAGGTGCGCCGCCAGAGGGCGCCATCCCCGCAGGGTCGGCAAGGTGTTGGCCTCGGTCCCCTGCGTCCGACAGACTGGGTTGCTCAGCAGTTGAAACCCGATCAGGAGCGAGTTGCCTTTTTCGCAGTGCGCCCCGTGGGGGAAGCCGGTCCCGCCCTGCGGCTCCCGAGGGACCGCGGGTGAGGAAGCGCAGGCTCAGC